GGAAGTCGATAACTAGTTATTAATATGCCAAAAATGCCATGAAATTGGATTCCTGTTCATACTCTACACAAAAGTCAGTTTCTGGTAGATTAAAGGCATCATATGGAAGACAAAATAGCTAACATAGTGTGGAAGCTTATTAAAGTTTTAGCCTCCCATGGAATTAAAACCCCATTATGAGCTCATCATGATCCCTGATTATATTTTTAAACTACAGCAGAATTATTACCTTGGAATAATTGGCTTTTCTTACTGCCAAAAATGCTTTCTTGTTATCATGACGTACACTATACTTCTACTAAGAGCTGGGCTATCAGCATTTCTTTTAAATTACTTAAATTCCTCACAGACTAATTATACTACTAAAGCTAGTGGAGAACATCTAAAGATTGTCACATAAATTAATAACATTAATAAAAGCAGATTTCCAACATATTAAATAATTAGTGAGAGGCTTCGGTGTCCACAAGAACTAATTTTTAAGTACTTTATTGCTAGAATGATAACATAAGGTTTGATAGCATGAATAAATTCAGAAGGTTCATCTAAGGACTACTTTAAAATCCAACCTCACGTTTTATTAAATTTAGAAATATGTTTCCAGGAAATATTTAACACTCACAGCATAGAATATATTTCAAACTATGTCAGTGATTCTTTTGGACAGTCCCAAGGGGACCTGAAGTGAAAGTTCATTTCATTAAAAAGTAAACCCTTATAATCAACAGCACAACAGATCTCGTATCTTCCATATGTACCTACATATTTTAGCCAACTTCACTTCTCCTCCTTTCATGACTCCTTATCAGAACTCACATACAGGTATTGCTCTTTTAGTTTCAAGAAATGCAAAGGGTAGTAGAAATAGACATAGAAAACAAACTTAACGGCTACCAAAGGGGAAAGAAGTGGGGAGGGATAAATTAGGAGTTTGGGATTAGCAGATACACACTCCTATGTATAAAATAGATAAACAGTAAGGTTCTACTATATAGTACAGGGAACTGTATTCAATATCTTGTAATAATCTATAATGAAAAAGAATATGAAAGGAATACATATATATTTATAAATGAAACATTATGCTGTACACCAGAAATTAACAAAACATTGTAAACAGACTATACTTCAATAAAAATTTTTTAAATAAAAAAGTAGATAAACAGCAAAGTCCTACTGTCTAGCACAGGCAACTATATTCAGTATCTTATTTATAAAGCACAGATATACATATAGTACAGAAATGGATCTGTGATATTAAAATTTCATGGATGGGCACATTTAGGAGGAAAAAAAGGTTTAAAGTGGCTCCTTCAGAGGGCAACAATGAAAAAAGGCTGAGAAACGCTGCCTAGAAAGGAACTTCCCAAACTAGAATGTCTTAAACAGGTTACAGGTGTGTCTAGGTACTGTTCTCCTAAGCTCCGCACGGGTAGGATAGGTCTAAGGCAGCTGCGGCCCTCAAGGGGTTGCTTCTGGTAACAAGTGTTCTCCTCCTTCTTCACCCCCATGTGCCATCCAAATATTATAATTTTCTGCGTGTACTATGACATGAAACAGTTTGGCAAATACTGCTAGAGAAATGAATCTATCTACCTTCTTGGGACAACTGAGAATGTCACTGTAAGGCCCTTCACCTTAGTCTCTCTTCAGGACTCCTTTTATTACTCCATCGAAGTAAGGGGTATCCTTTCTTTCTAAGGCTACTTTGTAGCCCATCATTTTGTGGACCTTACTCCTTCATTATTTACCATTGCTCATGCATCCTTAATCCTTCCTTTTCTATTACTCCTTTGCCTCCCTGCCAATAAACGTATCAACATCTCTCTCACCTTGGTGAGCAAATCAGGAAGGCTACTTTATTACTTGAATGATGGCTGGAGTGAGACATTAGTAGAAAACAACAGTAAGACATGCTTGTTATATAAGTAAATGAACAAGTGAATTCTGTTAAAGCACAAAGAGACAAGGTTTGGCCATCATCTATTCACAGAGGATGAATGGCCGGGTTGAATCAAATGGTTCCATGATTTTAAAGGCAGGTGATGGGCAGACTGTTGGTATCAGGAAAACCAGGAAGGGCATCTCTGGGGGAAATTTGTCCAGTTACCCCAAGATTAAAATGTTCAGTAAAGATTTTTAGGTGTGAAATTAGATTTGGAGAACTTGCTTTCATATATTTTCTTATACATAAATACATAAAAGTAATTTATATTAAATGTGTAGTATATCCTGTGATGTATATTTCCTCAGGTAGAATTATTTTTTAAAGTATATAGGCTTGGGCTATACTGAAATCCAATTTAATGACAGCCAGCCCAAAAGCCAGTAGGACTAGACTAAAATTATCTTATTAAATGGAATCTGTACAAAAAAATCCCTGTGAATTTAAGTATTGTAATTTCCATTTTATAGATAAGAAAAAAGTTAAGGCAGATTTGAAAGGGATCAGCAGAAGTGTGATAGATTTTAATGGCCTGAAATGACACCAGCAATGCTTAATTCTAGCTAACTCTAATAATTTACCCATCAAAATCGACAAGGGCAGCAACAAAACAATACAAGACAGCAGATAAGCCCAAAATAAACAGTAATACAGAACTGAAATATCCCATTTTGCCATACAAACCTTAAAAATCAAGTATGTCTGACTCTCAAACAAATAGTGATAAGATTATAAAACAGTTCTTTTTAAAAAAAAATGTGTTCTGCACACAGAGAACAGGGAAGGTAATTTCCACCAGCAGTAACAACCTAGGATCGAAAATAAAATGGATGGGATGGGAAGACAGACCTTTTAAAATCTGAACCCAAAGATACCTGTTAGTACCTAAGAATACAGAGAGATATGGTATCGTTATGAAACAGTATATCTAATTCTTACCATTAATAACTGGTGTGTAAACAACAATCCCAACCAAGTTTGGATCAGATACAGTTGTGTCCAGAATAAGGCCCCCAATGCTGAAAGATATAAAAACATACAATTTAGGGAAAAGGAAACGAAATGTGCTAATTTGAAGCTGTTCTTTATATACAAACACCCCTACTTTTACAAATAAAATATTTAGACATTAAAAAACAGAATAAAAAGAAAAAATATTCAAAGCAAAAATCAATGTCAACAGCAAAATGTTGAAAATAAAACATGGCATAAGCTGTGGCCCCACATTTTAGGGCTTTCTTGTCTCCAAGATATGTTACATGCAAAAAGGAAAAAAGCACAAACTTTAAGTGCATTAAAATGTCTGGAAGGACATATAAGAAATTAAGTATGTAAATCTCTAGGGGGTGAGACTGACAAGGGACTCATGGTCATTTAATATCTTTCTATACTTATTAATTTTTAAAAGCCACGTTCATTTATTACTCTTACAACTAAAAGATAGTTTTAAAGAGAGTATCTTTTCATACTTCAAGTATACAAGCCATTAAAAGGATAATTTTTATCATGTTAAAACTAGATACAGTTAGGATGTGTCTTATCACGGGTAAATTAAAATAATCAGTTGTAGCCATAGAAAGAGCTCAATTGGAGAACAGAGGTCTGGAAAAATAAAATACGGTTCTATAGTAGAAACATATACACTCTCAACGTCTCAATGGAGCTGAGCGATCTGTTTTTGTTTCCAAGATCATTATCAATTGGTTAACTTCAGTCTCTAGGTCTACATACTATAAAGCATTGCCAGTCGCAATATTCCATGGGATCCTGTTGCCTAAATCTTCTAGGAAAATGCAATCCACATTACAGGAGAATGAACTGTATGCTGACACAGAATGGGGCTGATGCCAAATATCAGATCAGATCTTACCACACTACCTGAGAGTTAATACTAGGAAATTATTATATTTTTATTATTTTAATTTTTTAATAAAATAAGTGAATGGCTTAATAATCCTAAACTGGTAGGAGTTCCCATTAAAAGGTATACTATAAAGTCCAAAAATAGTCACCCTTAGAAATATTTCACTATTATAAGCCCTAATTAAAAAAAATACGTATTTTATAGAATAAACTAGTTATGTGTTAAAGAATAAATTTCCTTGCCAAAAATACTCGGATCATGTTGTATATATAACACGAACACTTGCTAAAATACATTTTAAAATATTTTTATTACTCAGGTAATAAAACCTATTATAGAAAAACTAGAAAATACAAACAAAAAGAAAATAAAAATCAACCATGGTTAAACTGACATATAGCCTCCCAGACATTTTTAAACACGTATATTCTTAAAAACAAAAACTCAAACTGTAAAAGCATTCTTCACTTTCATTAAATATTTTTATCAAACAAATGTATGCACATCATTTAAAAAGTGAAAGCACCACAAAACTTATCAAATAGTCCCCCTGCCCTACCCCGGATCCTGCTCTCTCTTCACAATGCTTTTTAACTTCTTTAACTGTTTCTCCTGGCATTTAAGCATCTACTGCTAAACATATTTATACAGCTATTTCTTGACTCTGACATTTACTAATGACTTCCACTGCGGCAGATGAGCATTCAGTCTCTGACCCTCCCCTTCCCACCTTAGTCCCTTCACAATTCCCTTCTTCCCTTTTTCCTGCCAGTTGGCTATATTATAACTTTTTGGTGAACTATTTAGGGTTTACTTTATTATAACATCATCATTATTCACAAATGAGCCACAAAGTGTATGATCAGATTTCCTCACTTGTACTTTTTTGTGCTGTCTTATATTTTTCTTAAATTTTTTAGGTACTTATTACTAATTCACCTCAAATTTGTAGCAAAGTTAATGAAAGGCCTCTGAATAGGGTCAAGCTCATCAGGTAATCCATCAGTTCCACTTTTTTTTCCCTAGACATTCCTCCCTAAGCCCACTGTCCTCCTGCCAAACTGGACACCTCTCTCTGGGCCTGATGCACCACTGTCATTCCACACCTTCCCTTCACTCTCCCCACGATGTGTCTTGGTCTGCCTACTATGATCGAGTCCCAACATTTTTGGGGATCCTGTTGCCTGAATTTCCCAGGAAAATGCAATCTGCATTACAGAAAAATGAACCACATGCTGTCATGGAATATGTTTCCTCCTTCCTGTGTCGCCCTCTTTCCCAATGATTTTCTCACTTTGTTAGACCTTATCTACTTTCAGCTTCCATATGGAAAGATATACAGGAAGCAAATTTTTTGAGATCCCACATGTCTGAAAACTTCTTGAGCCTACATTTGGTTTATTTAGTGATCACATTTAATGTCCAAAATAATTTTCCCTCAGAATTTTGAGAGAGTCACTTTTGGTGTTGCAACTGGGCATCATTCCAGTTCCCAATACTTCATAAGCAATTTGATTCTTCTTCCTGAAAGCTTCTGAGGTTTATGATAACACGCTTTGATTTGGGTCCCTTATACTCTAATCCACTGTTCAAGGTACTCAGCAGGCCCTTTCAATCTGGAAACACACATTCTTCAGTTCTGGGTAATTTTCTTGTATTATTTCTTTGATAATTTACTATCCTTATGGTTCACCTCCAATTGTCCACCTCTTTGCTTTCTGTTCTGCTTTCCAGGATAGTTCTTCAACCCTATCTTCAAAATTTTTCTGCTGAATTTTTTTGTTTCTGCTATTTATATATTTTTAAATTCCCAAGAGCTTTTTCAGCTTTTCAAATCCTCTTTATTAGAGTATTCTGTTCTTATATTATAGATGCCATAGCTTCTCTAGTTTCACTAAGAATACTGGTGATAGGTTTTTGAGACCTTTGGACTATGCCTGTACTTTTTTTGAGCACCTTTTTTTGGGGGGGGGTCTCTGTCATGTTAAAAGCCTTGATAATCAAATATCTGACAATCCTTTACTGCCTGCTCCTCCTTTAGGGACGACTGCAAAGCATACTTGGAGCTCTCTGTGTACATGGTCAGAGCTTGTCAGCAGGTGGGCCTCACTGAAGAACGGTCAGGTAGGACAAGCAGCTCTTTCACTAAAGGACCCACAGGGTCAGTCTCTGCAGGTCTTTCTTTTGTGCTGATGAGTTTCCCCAGAAAGGAATGACCTAAGTTTTCACCAGGGGGTATAAGCCAGACTGCCAGCATTCTATGAGAAAACGAAAGGAAGTAGGATAGAGTATTCACTGTTCAGCATGTAGACTTTTCCTTAATCATTGTTTTTCACACTGCTTAATCTACAGCCTCACTGGTGCAGGTGATTCTGAACCGAGAGGCTAATTTAGCCTCTCCAGGGTTAATTCTCATCTTCTGCTACAGTGCAAGGGGGCAGGCACCCTGGCACTCAAGCTGGAAAAGGGCTTTTAGGATACAACTGCTTCTTATATTAACGCAACCAATCTTCTTAATTTCAGCTTTTTGAAGTATTTAGTGCCTCTAGGTCCTCCATCTTTGGGGGTTTCCAAGGCTTAAATCAGCTTGCCTCTTATGGGTGCGCCCTTGTCCTGTAGGCAGTTAGATTTAAATTTTCTTCTTTCTGTTAGTTCAGTTAACAACCATCCAACTAATTCCTATCTTACTAATTTTGTTAAATCTCTCACCTAGTGTCCTCTCTGCTCCTCTTTGTTTTTGTGGTTGTATAGCTTTTTTATTCTTTTACTGTCATTTTAATAGTTTCAGTAAGAAGACAAACATGAGTCAATCTACCAAGTTTAATAGGAAATTCATACTCTTTTCTAGCTTTCTCCTTTCACTCAATTTATAATGAACATCTTTCCACATCAATAGAAACATTACAATTTTATTTCTGACAGCTGGCTAATATTTCATTTTGTGACTATGCCATAATTCATTTGATGAATACATGATTGCTAGATATCTGTATTCTTTCTCTTTTTTGTTATTAAAAGTTCCACTGTGATGAGTATCTTTAAAACTTAATCATTTGCATATATCCTTAATTATATCTTTAAGTCCTGTCAGAATCCTAGAAGTGGAGTAGTCAAATGGTATGTACATTTCTAACATTTCCTGATACTTATCTGAGCAACTTACTGTTCAAAATAAGTAATGTCATTGTCAGCTTAAAACACACACATACACACAAAGATAAACACCACTAAATTTTAGTCATCCTTCTGGTAAGAATTTGGTTGGGGAAAAGTTTGAAACTAGTAGCCAAATGAGGTTCTGTACATCTACTGATTTCAACAACTCTTGTAATTTCTGTCCCTACTACCTGGGATAATAAAGAACTCACATTAAAATGACTGATCTAAGAAATAAAAACAGGCAACTGGTTTGTTTATATCAATCTATCTATATGTCTATTTATATATAGATAGATACATGTGTATAGTATAAACTCGCCCTTCCCCCTCCAAACACACACACACACATTTTAATACTAACCTACTTATAACCATAGCTGTTATGACAGGCTCCCAGCCTGAGTGGAGAACTGTCCTTGTGGCTGGATGTTTGGCAGCTATTATAATCCAGATAGGAGTTAGAGCCAAGAAAAAGACACCAACTAATGGAGAAATGTAGTAATAGGTCTCTAAAATTAAAAAAGAGAAAACACTTCAATCTCTCTTCTAACTATGTAGCAAATGTAAATATTAAAAGTAAAAGTTTATCAGAAGATATGATGTTATCAAAGTTACTCATGCCATATATTTTCTAAAAATTTCAAACAAACTGAAAACTGTAGATAAGGTAAAAATGTTAAATAACATAACTGAAAACTAACACATTAATTCAGCAAGCATTTATTGAAATAGCTATCTGACCCAGATGGGAAATAGTAAATAGTATCATCAACAAGAATATCAACAGTAGAAAACCTAACATTATTTGACTCCTACCATTTACCAAGTACTGTGGTAAATGCTTTATATTCATCATCTCATTTAACTGTCCTCACAGTACAAGGTAGAAACTCATTTCAGTCTTATGAAGAAACTGAGGCTTAGGAGCTTAAGAGCATGGCTAAGAAACGGCAAGAGCTGGGAGAAAATTACATCTGTAAATGACGCTGAAGTTAGTGCTCTTAACTTCAAACTATAAAGTCAAATAGAACTAACAAATGAAATCAGCAAGGTAGCAGGATACAAGATTAATAGACAGAAATCTGTTGCATTTCTTTACACTAACAATGAAACATGAGAAAGAGAAAGTTAAAAAAACTCATTTGAAATTGTGTCAAAAAATAAAATACTTAGG